CACAACCTACTTATTTTTCACGTATTTGAAGTAGAACTGCATACCTGCAGATGACTTTTACTTTAACTTGTGTAAATGATTTTTTTATACATAGAGAAAAAGCTACTACTACATTTTTCTCTTCCAATTGTTTAGCGAGTGGGTCAATTTTTTTTAACTTAGGGTAATCTTTCTCACACTTTTATTGTAAGACTTCATTTTAGGTATGAACCTATTGTTCCTAAAGAATGCCTTGACTTAATTAGAGCAAAACCCTTTGACAATCTTTAGAAAGATTATCTTAAAATGGAATAAGTGGAATGCAAGTCATGATACTAAGAAACTACAATTGGGCTCTGGTTAGGGGTGTCGATGGATTTTTAAAAACCGATTAAACCGACCGGATCGAACAGTACCAAACTTATTTTTAGGGTTCTTTTTAATAAAATCGTATGTTTTATATACATTTATAACCATACCGAATAATAGGGTAAGTTTTTAATTTTATAAAAATAAACCGAATCGTACCGAATAAATTTATATATGAAAAATATATTTTATATACTATGTTTGAAACTAATAAAGCATTTATGGGCCGTGTGATTATGGAAATGGCTACAAGTGACCAAATAATTAATACTCAAAGTCCCAACTTTCAAACATATTCTACTACTCATATTGAAACTAAATTAGTTTCAACATCTAGAATAACAAGCCAGTAAGCAATCTTGAGATCTTCGGTAGCAAGTCACAAGGTATTGGATATTTTTCTTCTCGTATGATTTAGATTTATCTTGTTAGATACTAATCATCTAATAANATATATATCTTAATTTATTTTTCGCTACCATAGAATAGTGGGATACATTTCTATTATGGATATCTTTTATGTTACTTTGATTCATCACTTTTAAAATAGTAAAATACGCATTTATCGCATTCTAACTTCAACTAACGATTCTTACATAATTTTTTTTTAAAATATCGAAAAATTAACTGAACTGTACCGACACCGAAGAAAAACCGAGATGGTTTGTATGGTTTCGAAAAGTTTAATTTTGGTTATACAAAAAAAAAACCCGAAAAATTAATACGGTACAAATTTTATGAAATAACCGGTCGAACCAAAATCATTGACAGCCTTAGCTATGGTTGATGAAGAGGATTGTTTGTGGTGCTTCCCACACCTGCGGTAGAAGAGTAAGGTCAAGCATTCTTTCTCCTTTTACTAAAGAATACCGTGTGCACATTACAATCAGTGGCATACGCCAATTTTTGGAGGGGTTGCTCTCTTTTTGAGAGCTCCTAACAAATCTAGTTCAAAGTTTTTTTACTTGAAAAAAACATGTAATTATTTTTAGTTTTTGAACACCTCAAAGGAATTTTGCATGTATTATGCTTTATATTTTTCTAAAGAAGGTTTCTGCTGTTTTGTCTACTTTTGTAAAATCACAGATCTTTTCCCGTAACATTAACATGGCAAATATGTATTAGACTATACCTTGAAGGAAATTACAGGTGACCTTTATTTGAGCAATTTGCCCAAAAATAAAATCAACCATACCACAAGAAAGAAGATATTGACATTTTTCTTTGTGAGCTTCCAATCAAAGCTTTCATAATTTTACATTCCTTTGAAGAAATTTTATTAGTTAAAATTTTTGTGAAATTGGACATCTCATTTTAGAATATTTTAGATATTACCATATATTTCTGTAATTCGATTTCCATTAAGTTTTTCTTCTCTTTTTTCTTTGCCCTATATGGCTATATCTTTCCACCTCTGAAAAGATTTTTAAAGTAAAAAAACTTTGATATATATATATATATATATATATATATGAAAGC